ACAGAGGTGCGCTTGAAGTGGGGGGTGTGCTGTCCCTATTGGGCTGGGCCCTTCCCCATAAGGCCCCACCGTCGGGGCATAAGCGCCCTCTTGCTACCCATATGCGAGGCGCCGTCTTAGCCTTCCCTGACCAGGATCGCTCCCACACCTATAGCGTTCGTGATCGGCCTCCTCAACTGTGTAAGTAGTGCAAATTTCTCCCTTTTTAGAATGGCTCCACTTTTGTTGCCCTGGTTTATATCCCGGAGTACTCCTATGGCCGATCTGTCACCCAACCTACTTAAACAACCTAAAGGCTTGGTCCCGCCCCGTTTGGAGAATGACCCCTTATGGCACGACTTAGTCAGTTATTCTCGCAGTTCAGATAAGATTCGGGGTGCATTTAGTTGTCTTACATGAGACTCGGGATATTACCCACTCCATGGCATGACACCTTTCGCTCATCCATTCCGCCCGCCCAGACGCGGCGCCTTTTCTCATTATCATCTACCGACCTACCAAATAAAAGGCCTGCTAGGTGATCGAAATCGCTCAGGGAAGCTCGTCCTCTTATTGTTTGTGTCAATACTCAACTTCGTCAGTCTGGTTGAACAGCCTCCCAATGAGAGCGAGCCAAGACTTTGCTTGCTGTTTGTGTTTGTCCGCCACGGGTCGTCTAACAAGGCATGGGACCCATAGATTCATTGTCTGCTGTGCAGAAGCTTCCTTCCTGCACCTGCATGCGCGCTTCCCCAGAAGGAGGCACACATTGTAACAATTCATCGCGATAGCTGCCTTTGGCTCTACTCTAATTGGCAACGAGACAGTGGATTGATTCCTACACCTATGGGCTCAGGTTCCTTCCTCCTCTAGTCCGAATCAAGATGGCTCCTCTCCCAATGGTGTAAGGCCGTCGACTTATTGGGAAAAAGGAGGAAGATCACTTTGATCTCTTGTTTCGGAGAAATCAGTGGCTCACGAGGAATGGAAAGGAACATATTCTATTTGATCTCGAAGTCCTCATATAGCACTTCTTCCAATCCTGGATGGGGGATCACTTGTAGGAATGACATAATGCTAATCCATGTTCCACACGGCCAAGGAAGCATCGGTTTTTAATCTCATTATGACTTGGTCGTTCAAACAGCAGCGACGGTAGACTATGGCTAGGGTTTCGGCGATTGAGTGTAACAGATCAAGAACCTAAAGCTCTAATACCAGTTGTTAGGACGAACGTTACACACGCAATACGCACAACCCTATGCACAACCCAAAAAACAAGAGAAGAACACAAGAATTTACGTGGTTCACACGATTAGATTGATCGTGCTAGTCCACGGGGGCAACTAGGTTTTTCTTTATTTAGGTGCTACAAATGTTTACAAGTACAATGAGATTAATATATATAGACAAACATAATTAGGGTTATCTCCTAATCAAGGAAACTAGGGTAGAGACTAGGGCCGGCTCCTTTTGGGCTAGGGCCGGCTCCTTACTTTATGCCTCCTCCCTTTTGTCTAACTTAGTAGGCCGAAGCCTACATTCCAACATCTGAAGCATGCCATGTCTTCCAAAACATTCACTGCATGATTCAAACATAGTAGCAAACATCCATTCGTATATTACGAACGGATAATGGCACTGAATATTCTAATTCAACCTTGGGTCCCAATCTATCTGATAATGGAATTAGCCATCAAAGCTCGTGTTGATACACCCAAAGAATGGTACTGTCGAGGGGAAAATCGCCATCTGTTGGAAGTTGCCCGAGCTCACATGTTTACCATGAACGTGCCAAAGTACCTTTTGGGAGATACCATTCTCACTACCGCCTACTGATAACGCCTACCTAGTCGCCTACTCAAGTTCAAAACACCTCATTCCATCCTTCATGCTTCCTCCCTCACAGCTCCTAAACAGACTTCCTGCTAAAACCTTTGGTAGTTTGGCCTTTGTTCATGTACATTACCAGGATAGTACAAAGCTCGATCCTAAGGCAATTAGGATGATATTTATGAGTTATTCTCCTACTCAAAACGGCTATCGATGTTATTGTTCTCCCATGAAAAGACTTGTCTCTAGGGATGCCAGTTTCTTTGAAAACATTCCCTGTTTCTCTCCCAGCTCGCTTCAGGAGGAGAGCAGTCATCAAGAGCAAGAAGCTCGGTGGTTGTGGGGGTTAGAACCACCCCTAAATCAACCCTCTCCTACACCGTCTCTTCAGCCAACTCCTGAAACCCCTTCTGAAGCATCGTATCTCCCAAACCAAGACCAATAACCAGAGTTGCGTGTTTATTCTATAAAACAAAGAAATAATAAAGTCATGAATCCTCAATCCTCATCACGGTCAAGAAACCAACCTAGAGATAGTGGAATTACCACTTAATAAAAGGGTGGTAGGATGCAAATGGATGTTCATTGTCAAGTACAATGGCAATGGTTCTATGGAGAGGTACAAAGCTCGGTTAGTTGCAAAATGGTTTACACAAACCTACGGAATTGACTATATTGAGACCTCTGTCTCAGTTGCCAAACTCAACACCATCAGTCTTACTCTCTGAGTGAGAGCAGGTCCTCGCCCTTTATCCAGTATGGGTTTGTGCTCCGGGTGGGATAACAATGTCATGCAGTAACACACTGAGAGGTCATTTAAGGGCCTAAAACCCTATTTTTAGAGGCTGACACAAGGACAGTCCATTCGTGCTCTTCACGTGGGAGCACTCTCTGCTCTGAGATAGAGAATCGGGGATTGAACCTGCGCTTGGTGGATTCACAATTCACTGCCTTGCATTTTGATGCTCTGAGAATAAAGATGTTCCAGACCAATTTAGCAAAGTGACACTCACGCAAAACACTCCAGCAGCAAACTTGGATTAGGAATTACATCAGCTAGATGTAATACATGCATTTCTAAATTGTGAACTTGAAGAGGAAGTCTATATGAGCCAACCTCCTGATTTGAAGAAAATCCTGGTGCATAAATCTAGCAAATCAATATATGCATAATCCCTGTCAAGGGCACCTCAATGCTGTGTATTAAATCTTGAGGTATCGAAAGCACACTCCAGGGAAAGGTTATTTTTCAATAAATCAAGCGAATGAAATGTTGAAGTATTTACAGATGCTAATTGGGCTGGATCAATTGATGATGGAAGGTCTACATCTGGTTACAAGAAGCGGTGCAGAAGCTGAATACAAGGTCATGGCCCATGGATGTGAAGCAATTTGGATGAAGCGGTTGCTAAAGAATTAAAGATTGAATATCAAGGTCATGTCCAGCTCTATTTCATAACCCCATGCATCATGATTAAACAAAGCATGTAGAAGTGGATTGCCATTTTGTTACATAAAAGATTGATGGAGGAATAATCAAGATCTATAGTCATAGATTGAGGGGGAGTGTTGACAGCTGGAAATCAAATCAAATCATAAAGGATTTGATTGCATACGCTATCCTTCTCATAGGATTAGAATTGAGTGTATAAAAGGGAAAAAACCCCAATGAACTTTCTAATTTTGAATGATCAAGTCCCTGAACGAACAAGCCATTAAACTTCTTTATTTTTAATGATCAAGTCCCTAAACATTTTTTTGTATAAATAAACCATCGAACTTTTAGAAATTGGTTAATTACATCTTTTTAACCCAAAAAAGCTACCTATAATTGGCTAGAAAGGTTTTAAAGTAGAAAAAAAAACTGAAATCTGTTTTACCATTCCAAAACCCTACGTCATTCTAACCCGTCCCACTTAACGCCATTGCTCCCCTTTCCCACCCCTCGCTGCCCCATCATCATCTGTTAGGTTTTTTTACTTTAAAATATTCTTAGACAGTTACATGTAGTTTTTATGGGTTAAAAATTATGTAGGTAACCAATTTTAAGTCTGATGTATTATTTATTCAAAAAAAAAAATGTTCATGGACTTAATTATTCAAAATGAGAAAGTTTGATGGTCTATTCATTCAACAAAAATAGTTTAGGGACTTGACCATTCATAACGGGAAAGTTTGTTGGGTTCTTTTGAACTCTTCCCATATATTTTCCTATTCTTTCTACTCTTGCTGTATAAATAGGAGTCTATGTATTATTCAAATAAAATAAGAAAAAACATTTTTTCTCTAATCCTGCCTATAGTTCCATACACTCATAGTTCTACACAATCACACGAATGGAACCGTTATGTTGTTAAAGGGCATGCTACATAATGAGGTATGGTTTTTTACCTTGTATCTTCTATTTCTAGATGGGGCACCTTATTTTTGCTGATTCATGCCCCCACATGTTTACGACTGTCAGAATAGAGCTCCAGTGGTAAAATAAATTCAAGATTGAGTTGAAGTATACAGCTGTAGTAATTTTTATGCAAATATGCCTCAGTGTAAGACTAATTAGAAGCAAGCAGTTTAGGTGATGGGTAGGTATGTTTCTAGCTTTAGGTTTCTATTATGTGATTATAAATAATGAGCAAAAAAATAAACTGAAACTCCTACGAATTGTGTCGTCAGTCATCTTATTTATAGTTTTATTGGTTTCTCCCTCCACCCTTTAAGTATCTCGATATTGTGGATATTGAGAGAATGTGCTAGTGGGAAGAAGTAATATTGTGATTTCTATCTTGGTGACAGTAATTTAATAAAGGTTCCTCTGAAGTAAATATATTGCAATTTAAATGTGAATGTGACGTAGTAAGTTGTTTTTTCAGGGAAGGCTTGATGTCTTATAAGCAGTTCATTCAGGAGCTTGAAGATGATATACTGCCATCTGAAGCTGAAAGCAGGTATACTGATGCTGTGAGGGTACTCGCTAGACCCTCACCTGGGTTTTAGATATTGCTCTCCTCTTGGTTTTTTAAATTGTTAACATTTTACATTGACCTGTTCTACAGATATCAAGAATACAAGTCAGAATATATATCAACTCAGAAACGAGCTTATTTTGATGCTCATAAAGGCGAAGATTGGTACACCTTCTTACACATATATTTATGTGTATATATATCCTCCCCGTTATTCTGTAATGACAACCTTTTCTCTCTAATATTTGCTTTATGATGTAGGTTGAAAGATAAATACCACCCCACAAATTTGCTTGCAGTTATTGAAAGGTGTGCTTTTCATATTGTGTGGGAGAAGCTCATCGTCATTCTCAAAAACAATTTTGTCCATGTTAATTAGTTTATTCTTTTTTATCGCTATTCTTTTATAGTCTTGTTCTTGTTGCTGTTTCGATGCCAATTTTATATTCTTCCTGCATTTTCTTTTCAGGAGAAATGAACTTTCTCGGAAGTTGACAAAGGAATTCTTTCTTGATTTGCAGAGCGGATCATTAGATTTGTAAGATATGCTTCCCATTGTTTTATTATATGTCCTGAAGGTGCAATGCATTTATTGTTCCCTAACAACTAGTACACCTGTAACATTTCTTTACATGAAGCAGAGGTCCTGGTGTCACTGCTTCATCTTCAAACAAGTTAGGCCATGCAAGTAATCCCAATTCTGAAGATGAAGTCGATGGAGGTGGCAAAAGAAGATGGCATGGCCGCATTCCGACAAAAGAGTCGGATCCATTCCCAGCCGCTCCTAAGGCTCACCCAGTCAGTTCTGAACCCAGACGAATCCAGCTTGACGTAGAACAAGCACAGGCACTTGTAAAGAAACTTGACCTAGAGAAAGGAATAGAGGATAATATATTATCCAGAGCTGATAATGAGAGAACAAACAGGGATAAGTCCCATGGTGGGTCCAGCGCCCCAGTTGTCATTATTCGTGGTTTAGCTTCTGTGAAAGGTCTTGAGGGTGTTGAGTTACTCGATACACTTATTACTTATCTCTGGCGGATTCATGGTTTGGATTATTATGGATTGCTTGAGAGAAGTGAAGCTAAAGGTCTTCGGCATGTGAGGGTGGATGGCAAGACCTCAGATATAAACAATAATTCAGCTGAGTGGGAAAAGAAACTAGATTCACGATGGCAGGAACGATTGAAGGGTCAAGATCCTTTGGAAATAATGACTGCAAAGGAAAAGATAGATGCTGCTGCATCTGAGTCTTTGGATCCTTATGTTCGTAAAATACGGGATGAGAAATACGGATGGAAGTATGGTTGTGGAGCAAAGGGTTGCACCAAGCTGTTTCATGCTGCTGAGTTTGTTCACAAACATTTAAAGCTGAAACACCCAGAGCTTGTGATGGAGCTAACTTCTAAAGTGCGTGAAGATCTGTATTTCCAAAATTATATGAAGTAAGTTCATCTCTTGATAACCTTTTCTTTCCCTTTAGAAATGGTGCTAATGAAGATATTTGTAATCTGTAGTGATGAAGATGCACCTGGTGGGAAACCTATCATGCAGCCTTCTTTACCGGTATTCTTCCTGTTACATTGTTTGTCTCACCATGCTAATTTTTTTGCTTGACGTTATTTCCTTGAAACAAATAGTAAATGTTTCCTATTGGTGCTTCTGTTAACATGGTTTAATTTTCACTCGGAATGCTGCTAAAAGTTGCACTGCTTGTTTTGGATGTTTCATTATCAGTGGAACGGATGCTTTCTGGTTTCATTAAATGGGAATAATTCGTTTTTTCTTCTTCCCATGCCATACTATTAAGCAGCTATTTTTTGAGGTGTAGGTGCTCTATGGCCTGCAACCCTAAACCACTCGGCATGGCAAATTATCTAATCATCATATAGAACTACATAGAAATTTGATGATAATGGGACATTCCTGATGGAAACATCCTTGTACTTTTCAAGGCTTCTGTAACTAGTGGTTTACTTGAAACCTTTCAGGCACCACCTCCCAGCTCCTAGATAACATAAGCTGACTTAATTATTCATCGTCTTTGTCCTTCTTGGTCCAAATTCACTAAAATCTGAAGGTTCCCTTCTGCTTTAACATAATTATGGTCCCATCATTTAGACGTGAACATTCCAAAACAAATACACCATAAGAATACATAATACTTCAACTTCCATCTCTTATTAACTTCAGCATACCATGATGAGTTCTGCTTTGATTTTGTTATGTTGCACGACTAAATATGACTTGGATCTGTTTTCAGAAAGATAAGCCACAGAGGCGTAGACCTGGTGGTGATAACCGTATAAAAGATGAGCGTGGTAACCGCAGAGAACACGATAACCGAACCAATGGGGGTGAAAGATTTGATAGGGATGAGAATCCACAGTCAATGGAGTCGGAAGATGGGGGAAATCCTGATGACCCAATGTTTGATAATTTTGGTGGACAAGGTTTACATGTTGCACCCTTCCCTTCAGACATGCCTCCTCCTCCAGTATTAATGCCTGTACCTGGTGCCGGGTGAGTTCACTTTGGTTGTGATTGTACATATGCTATTACAGTCTTCTAACATAGTGTATGGTATTGGCAGTCCGTTGGGTCCGTTTGTTCCTGCTCCTCCTGAAGTTGCAATGCGGATGCTGCGAGATCAGGGTGGGCCTTCCCCAATTGAAGGGGGAGGCAGAAATGGGCCCCAATTGGGTGGCGCTGCCCCAATAATTGCTTTACCTCCATCATTTAGGCAGGATCCTCGTCGTTTACGAAGGCAAGTTCTTGTTTGATTTTAAAATTGGTAATGAACGCACACACATGCATATATACTTCCATACATGCATACATGGAGGTTCAGATAAGAAAGGGAAAAAAGTTAAAGATTGTATGAAAAATAATTCATATGTGAATCATTGGTAAAAAGTGGTAAGCAAATGTGGGTTCACATATGCATCTTCAAATGGGGTTTTTTTTATGGGTTTTTACCAATGATTCACATATCAATCATTTATTCTTACGTTCTCAACATGTGTGTGTATATAGGTGGTTTCATTTACAAACCCAACCATTAGTACAAAACCATACAGACCAATCTCAACTGTTCATCTAGTCTAATGAATATCTCGATTGTTTTTTAATATAAAGCGGTGAGGTAACAAATGAACTTTGATAATCTTCCATAATATCCAAATCATTATAAATAAACTCTTATCATTTCTATAAATATCTCAATTAATTGGTTTGTATGGTCTGTACTAATGGGAGTTTGTAAAAGATCTCTCCTCTCTCTCTCTCTCTCTATATATATATATATATATATATGATTCTGGTTCAAATGAGAACCCATATATTTTTGAGAGGGAACTAACCTTTAAGTGTATATTCATTGTTGAATATACACACTGACAAAATACAAATATGAGTGATATTTATTTGATTAACCTGAGCATTCAACCCGTTATGCGAGCCAACTAATCCTAAGGGACCACCTGTTTTGCGGGTAGCCCGGAGTCACCACATTTGAACCTCGCCACAAGGGGATTTTTATTCCTCCTTGGACTTGAACCTAGGACTCCATGCACTTTTGACCTTTGGAGCCCAAGCGCAAACCAATCAGACACCACTCTTGTGGTTAATGCAATTGATATTGATCAATGAAGATATATTCATCGTTGAATATACACTGATAATATACATATTTTGATGAAATTTGTTTGATGTATATTTATCAACGAATACACTATCAAATTAGTTCCATGGTTCTCACATGAACCCTCCCACACACAAATATATATATAAATAAATATATATAAATATATATATATATAGGGTTGGGTTGGGTTCCCGTAAGAAGGAGAGTTAGGTGAGAAGCTTAAAAGGAGATCTCCATCTTTAAATACACATTAGGATAAGATACACCGAGATGCACCGGATCAATCCCTGTATCAAACGCGATTCATGGGTGAGTTTGAGATTAAAGAAGATTAAGGGTCCAGATCCCTTTTTACGCTTCTCACCTTTGTTCTTTTTCTCACACGATCCTTCGCCTATATATATGTAGGGTTGGGTTCCCGTGAGACCAGTCTGTTTTCGTGAGACCCGTGACACCAACTTTTTACACTTGAAACTTCACAGCGAAAACATTGTGAAGGTAAAAAAATCCGAACCTTCACAGCAAAAACACTATGAAGGTTACCTTCACAGCATTTTACTGTGAAGTTTCAAGTGTAAAAAAGTGGTCTCACGGATCTCACAAGAACAGGTTGGTCTCACATGATCCCAAGTATATATATATATGTATATATATATATGTATATATATATATGTATATATATATATATATGTAGATCCTTTTGTCCAGTTAATGCTGTTCGGCAGAACTACTAATGGTAAGAGTGATTTCCCCCCTTATTGAAGTTTTTCAATCAATCAATCTTGTGATATTGGGATTAAGTAATGGTTAAGTTCGGTTTTATAGGATTAAAAGTTGATTTTTGGTGCTTGAAAATTTGTTGATGTTTGTTTATGTGCATACATGCAGCTATCAAGATCTTGATGCTCCCGAGGATGAAGTTACGGTGATCGACTACAGAAGTTTGTAATGTGAGATAGCTAAGGTTGGGATGCTGGTACTTGGATTTGGTTTGCTATTATAATGAACGTAAAAAGGGTTTGACTCTTTACTTCTATTGTGTAGGTTATATATATAGTCATCAAGCCTTTGCTTAGGAAGAAAGTAAAGCAAACAAGACTAGAGTTGAGGGAAACTACTAACATACATCTAATCCTCTTTATTTAGGAAAGGTTATGGAGCAATTTGATTTGCTACAAGAATTTGTTTACTTGCTTGTAGTACTACTTAATAAATAAATTAAAATTTATTTAGACAATATATAGTAAAAATAACAAGTGATGGGTGTTTTGAGGTTATGAAGAAGGATTGTGTGAGAAGCGTAAGAAGGAATCTAGATCCTTGATCATATTTAATCTCAATCACACCTATGGATCGTGCTTTATACGGGGATTGATCTGATGCATCTCATCCTAATATGTATCCAAGGATAGAGATCCGTTCTTACACTTCTCATTTTAACTCTCCTTGCTCGAACCAAACGTTCAAGGTTATGTTATACGTATTTTGTCATTAGCTGGGTTATGGGCAGTGTCAAAATTTTGAAAAATATGCCAAACTAGTCTATATGGGATGTCAGAATCTAGAGAGATATCTTACAAAATAGATTGAGCCTCTGTGGATAAGCTAGGCAGAATTAAGGTAATTAAGTCCAAATTTTGAAAAGATGAATAAACAGGTTTATATAAAAAAAATGTTATAAATATTCTAAAAGAGGCTATACTGATTGAAAAAACTACATCTTTACAAAATTCATATCAATCTATTGAATTGTTTGAATTTTTATGTAAAAGATTTATAGACGGGGTTAACCATTTCGATAATATATCTAAATTAACCCCGTCTTGATTGAAAGGAATTCTTAAGAATCCAACGAACAACCTACATTAAAAAAGATGAGTTACAGTTGTCTTGAAATTTTTTAGAGGTACAAGTTCTTATATTAAATATATAAACTTTAAAGCTTACTAACCTCCCATGTCTTTTACCTATTGAAAAATAAAATCATTTTTAATTTTAAGTTGCACTTTATACCATTATAATTAATTATTTAATTTACTTTAAATATCTTATTTTTTTCATTTTTTATTTGATACTTTTATTATATTAACATAAATAATCGTATATGAACTAAAATGCATTAAAAATATACGTTTATGTTTTTATAAATTATACCATGATAACCGTCTCATCAATACCTTTAAAAATGAGTCTAATATTGAATATTTTTAGATTTAATCATACTATTTAAAATCATGAATAGATAGGAATTAATTTGTTTTATACTCTTAACATTTTTATTTTTCATTTTACACCTTCATCGTATTAAAAGTACATAATCGTAGATTGATTAAAACACATTAAAAATGTGTTCCTTTTTTTATTACAAATTATATCATTATAAGTTTGGATGGTTTGATTGGTTAACTTTTATTGTCACACAAAACTAGGCTTTGAACAACGGGGGTGGGTCGGGTTGGGTCGGGTCCCAAAACAGAAAACCCGATCGGATTTTGGGGGGTTTTATGGAACCCAAAACCTGCAAATGTTAGATAAATCTTGCGGGTATCGGGTCAGTTCGGGTCTCAGGCCGGTTCGGGTTGGATTTCAATCCTCAATTTTTTTCCATTTTCCAGCTTCTTGTCTATTTCAAATTTTCCAGTTTCTTGTTGAAATGTAAGTATCTAAAACACAAATCTAAGTATCTAAGCGAGTAATAAAATGATTAAATGACTTCTTAATTCTTTGATTTCTATAACAAAATGTCAATACCGAACTAACGTCGGGGTCGTGGCTTGTGAACTAAGGTCGAAGTACGATTGAGGAAGTGAGGAGAGGAGTCGTCGTCGATTAGGAAATTAGGTTAGGTTTAGTTAAAACTTAAAAGGAAAAAGTTTAATACTAATTAAAATATCGGGTCATCGGACGGATCAAGGGGAAGTAGGATACCCAACCCGATCCTACTTAACCTAGGTTTAATAAGGTTTTAGGATCGGATTTTCTGCAGTTTTTGTGTCGGGTTGGATTAGGTATTTCGATATTTCGAGTATTGCTCACCCCTGTACAAAACATTGTACATATTTTGAGCATACAAAAGTTTATAATTGTTATTTTGGATCTTATCCAATATATTTGAGTTGTATGGAAACCATTTCTTTACCTCTTAATTTTTGAAAATGCTAGACCAATAGACTTTATTGCAAAGTCTGAACGTTGAAAATGTTAGACCAATATCCAAATGGAAAAATTGCATCAAAATGGAACTAACTTTCACCTTATAACCATTTTGGGGAACCAACTTTTAAAATCTTCATTTAAGGGTCTCTATCAAACTTTTTATTTATTTAAGGGTCTGGTTGACCTGTTGAACAGGTAACAGGTAATTTAATATGACTTGGAAGAAAATTATTTAAACAAATATTATGTGGAAATTATTTTGACAAATCATCATTATAATTAAAACAAATTAAAATGAAGTCCGCTTCACGTCTCCTACCTCGGTCGCAATCCTGCCCCTCCTTCTTCCTTCAATCGTCGTCGTCCCATAGCCTCCTGCCACTGTAGCTTTCTGCCCTCTCCGACAACCGCTGCCCTCTCCGGGCAGGCTCAAGCTGTCCTCTCCGCATTTGATATTTAATATATATTTTTTGTTGCATCAATTAATTTTTTCTATTAAAAAAATGAGATTTGGAAGCATCTTCAATTTGATATTTGAATTTTTTTATTTAAAATACGAGATTTGGAAAGAAAAAATAGATTTTATTGCATTAATTTAAAAAAATAACGAATTTTAGTTAATTTTCTATAATTATTTTGTAATTTTAAAATATGACGTGGATTTAAAATAAAAAATTAATATGACGTGAAATATTTTAGTAGACAAAAGATCTGGATTATGTCAGCACTAACAGGTTAACAGACCCTTAAATAAACAAAAGTTTGATAGAGACCCCTAAATGAAGATTTTAAAAGTTGGTTCTCCAAAATAAAAATAAGGTATTGGTTCCATTTTGATGCAATTTTTCCTATCCAAATTTATGCTTATAAAGATTGACATCTATTGTAAAAGTCATGCTTTGAAAAATAGTTAGCATGCATCTTGACAGGTTGGAAAAAAAAAAGCTGGTACAAAGCATTTTTGCCTGCTATTGTGAAGAAACTCACCTGCTTAAAAATTCGATTCTTTTGACCGAAAGTTAAGAACCCGGATTACCTGGTTGGGTTGGTGAAAGAAGGAAAATTTAAACTTGTAATCGACTCAGCCAAAGAGGCTTGGGCCAAGAGCATCATGTTCTTAAATATTCATATCTACTGTGAAGATATTTATTTAACTATCCTACAACTGATGTGTTATTTTCTTTTTCTAAGAGAGCTATATAGGTAGTTTTTTTTAATGGAAAAATAGTATTTCATAAAAAAAAGGTATTGGCATGTTTAAAATCAAAAGCATGCATTTAAAGTATTTTTCGTCAATATCTTTATACTTTATTGAAAAACACTTTTTAACATATTCTCATCCTTTGATGCAATGCTAGCACCTGAGAAAATCATTGAAATAATTTCTCTACTAATGAACCACAAACTTCAACTTCAAAATCATAGTAGTAACCAAAAATAAAATTTCTAACTTGTATTATATTTGCCAATTAAAAAACTTTAAAATTAGGCATAGTCATTTTAACCATAGTGTATAGGCCAACATGCTTACACCTCGATTAGTCTCAAAAGTCTTAGAATAATTAGAACAAATAACTATAAGGAAGATTCTCATAACAAGATCATCTACTAATTATTTTTATTCAAGGAAACATGTTTTTCACAACTTTAACATAAATTTGCTTTTTATTCTATCTAACGTTCAACATAAAAATGTAAAATGGATTAACATATATATTTTATTTAGTAAAAAACCTATTTATACTAGGTATCTGTTCAAAATATACACACGGCTACATTGTTGTAACATCCGGTTCCAGTATCCAAGTTGATCAGATACTAATGTAATTAGGAAATGAAAAGTTTGGGCTTAATGTTTGGCATTCAAAGATTGAAAAGGAATCGATTTATGATTTTTTTTTCTTTATATTTTTGTTTGAGTAAGGTATATATATATATATATACATATACATATATATATATATATATATATACACACACACACATATATATATATATATATATATATATGTGTGTGTGTGTGTGTGTACGCGCGTGTGCACATGTGTATGTGTATGTGTGAGTGTATCATTTTAAAATTGGAAAGGTGGCATAGTAAGTTTAAGGAGGTTGACTATGCACTTCCTATTTATAGCAAGTGCATTTGAGAAGAAAAGAGTTTATTGATTTTGATAGATTTTCAATTCCCTTTCAAGAAGCTTAGGTAATCAAAGTACAAAAGCAGATTCTCAAATTGAGTTTAAATGCAAAGGTGAGTTATATGTTGCCTTGGATATCTGAATGTTTTGATATAATTGTATAACTCGATAAAAATGCTAGTATATGTGTTTAAGAGAGATTTAAATTGTATTATTATTGTGTTCATCGCTTGTTTAATCTTCAAGAACAGAATTCACCGGACAAGGCAGTGTCCGGATGAGATCTCTCATCGGACAAAGCAGTGTCCGGATGAGACCCTCTACCGATCAAGCAAGTGTCCGGATATGTGTCTCATTGGCCAAAGCGTTTTCCGGATGTGTACCTTCACCGCACAAAGCAGTGTCTGGACAGAACTATTCTTTGGTTAAAGAGTTGTCCGGATAGGAACCAACACCGGACAAGGCAATGTCCGGACATAACCATATAACCTTTCACCGGACAAGACCGTATAATCTTTCACCGGACATAGTATTGTCCGGATATGTTCAAGTCGTCCAGAAACCTCCTTTCCGGACATAGTATTGTCCGTACAGGAATATAAATTTCACAGTAATTTCTTCAAGAAGTATAGATGAAATGGCGGTGTAATCACGATAGATGAAATTGCGGTGTAACCGCGATAGAGGAAATGGCGGTGAAACCGCGATAGATAAAAGTTTTATTCGACCAAGTACCTCTCCTTGGGTTGCGCCGATATTATTTGTGAAGAAGAAGGATGAATCAATGAGAATGTGCATTGATTACCTGGAATTGAATAAATTAACGATCAAAAATAAGTATTCTCTTCCAAGAATTGATGATTTGTTTGATCAATTGGTTGGGGCTACTTACTTTTCAAAGAATGATCTACGATATGGTTGTCGTCA